CTTAAAAAGCTATAAAAATAGCTCAGCATCTTGGCGCTGAAGTCTGGCACATTTATTGGTAAATAAAGTTCCGTTCCAAGGTATAAAAGTTAATAATAAATTGAAACAATAAGGCGAATTTTGTTGATCTCTTCGCTAGGTCAGACACAAATCTCTTCCGGTTTTTTATGGCTAGCAATAAAATTGGTAATTGGTAGAAGAAGGGCATATGAAATTAGCCAAGAGAAGTGGATTTAATTAAACTTCAAAGTGCAAGCTGTTGATTAAAAGTCATCGAGGCTTTTGCATTGGTAGTATATCTCTTTAAATTTAAAAGGGTGCTTTAAAAGTACTTTAAGATCGAAGAGTTTTCTTTATATTTTAAAATTTGCTTGTACCAAATAATTTCCTTTATGCCAGAGCCTAATATTTTCCTTTTTACTAGAAGAAAAACTCTTTTTTCATCACATCAAAACAATTTCATATAAGGAACAAGGCGTTAAATTTTTAATTAGCCCACTCTACGGTTGATGGTTCTTGAATATATATATATATATATATATACTTATATTTTTAAGTAGAATAGAAAAGAAATTCCCAGAAAATCAGACATAATTAAATATTAATAAGGTTTGCCAATTAAGAGAGGCCTCGGTACATTTTCAAGCACAAATTTCCACGTCTATTCATGTCACCAAATTATCCCATAAAGTGAAAAAGGTAAAAATTCAACAGAAAATTGGCCAAGGATGTGTCGCAGGGGGAGTGGGGGTGGGGTATAAGTGGGAAAGGACATTTGCCCCTAATAGATGGCAATCTTAGGCGTGTGTATCGTGATTGTTATGCTCCTCACCTCGCAGAAGATGAAGACGCACACAGTGCGCATGTGACATAATTGAAGGCGACACGTATGAGCAGGTGATCCTCCTCCTGCCTGCTCCTGCTCCTCGTCCTTTCTGTGCCTCCGTCCAATGGAAGATTATAATGTACGCATTGCTTAATTTGAATGGTGCGTGCTGGGCCCAAAGTCCTGCCTCCCGTGCCTCCTGTGTGTCCCGTGTCCTGCCACCTTTGAAATGCTGTCAGAGACGCTAAATGAAATTAAAGACAGACCCAGCTTCCCCTGCTTCTGGGGTCACAGATAACAGGGCACTCATGTTTTAAAAATTAAGCGAAAATAACGAAATTAGCATAAATAAGCGGCGCTAATAGGATTTCCTTTGTAATTATCAAATTGCCAGGCACCACCAAAAACATGAAAATTGTAAAATAAATTAAAGAATCGACCGGCTTTAAGCGTCACCCACATGCCGCTCCGTTTGTGGTTAAAAAATAAAGCACAGAAAACAAAAACAACAACAAAAAATGATGGCAAATTTACACACATGTTGGCACCTGCTTTATTTTTTCGTCCTGTTTGTTTGTTTGCCGATTTCTGTTTTGACGCCTGCGCTTGTTTTGTGGGTAATTTATTGGCCTGCTCGCCAAAATCGATTTCGCATTATTCTCGTGTATCAATGCACTGGCTAATTTGCTTAAAAGCATAATTAACACGGCGCACCCAGCTAGCACTTTATGGTTGCACGTGAGTCGTAAAAAATTCCCAAACACGCGAGGTGCAAAAGACATGGCAAAAACACGATGCGAATAATACAAAAAAAATCAAGAGAAATAATAAAAGGAAAACAGCTGTAAATAAGCGTTCAGAGCAGACAATGCCAATAACAACAACAAAAAATCAACTTCGACAAAGCTGCACACCACACGGCGTATACGTAATGAATTTTTCGTATGTTTTGCTCTCTGTCTGTCTTTCTCGCTTTTTTGTGATTAAATTTTAGTTAAAAAACGAAATTACCTTTGGGAATCAGAGTATTAAGCGTTGATGCAGAAATAACACAAATATTAAATAATTAGAGGGATAATAATATATATATATATATTTGGTATTTTAACTTGTAACATGAAAGTAAGCTTTATACACTTGCAGATTTAAATGCAATAAAAACTCTATATATTTATGTTAAAAAAACCTTTACATTTTAAATTTACAGTTTTACATTCACTGTTTTGCATTTTCCTTTATTTTTAAAGATCGTTTGTACAACAGCTATATGATATAGTACATAGTCCAATTTTAATAAAATTGTACACAAAATTCTATAATAATATATTATCAGTTTTTATTATTTTATATATATCAAATTTTATATATATAAAATCTGTTAAAACTGAAAAAGTTATAATATTTTTAAAATTTTCCGATCGATCCTGTGGCAGCTATGTATATATACATATGTAAATACATATATAGTCCATAGTTTAAGTTAATAGCTTAAATTTGCCCCAAAACCAATCTCGCACATCTTACATATGATTCCAATGGTTCTAACATCCCGGAACGAAGTGACTGCTGCCGGCCAAGTATCAGAAATGTGTTGTGTTACAAAAGTTGCAAGTCATTGTTTATTAGTGTTCATAGATATTTACTGCTCATAGTTAATTACTGATCATAGGTAATTACTGGTCATAGTTAATTACTCATCTTAGTTAGTAAATGGTCATAGACACTTAGTTTTCAGAGTTACTTACTGGTCAGGAGGATATATATATATATATAACTTGAGACTTGGTTTTTCATATTTTATACTGGCATTACTTTACCTTACTATAGTCATAATTATTTCTATATAAACATTAATCTTTCTTCTACAATTAATGGTATCCTAAATAATTCAAAACTTGGCTTCTCATTTCTGGTTCATAAATTGCTCGGTTACCGAAACTTTTTGGCTTTTGCTTCAAGCAACACAATTTAATATTTTTAATCGAACATAACTTTGAAAAACTTTTCCTCTTGACTTTTGGCCCCCAAAAAGGTTTCATTTCCATTGCCATAATTCGCTTTGCGGACCAATTAAAAGTGATTAGTTTCAAATTGTGTCATTTATATAAACAATTCGATGGCGAAAAGTGTGCAAACCTTTTCTATACCCCATACTCACAGTACTTGTTTAATTCTGTGGTAATTAATTAGCCAAGCCTACGCCCATTCAAATTGGCCAACGGTTCACGTGGCTTGGGAAAATGCTTTTCCGGCAATGCACGTAAGCGTTTACCTATAATTTTATGACTTTATGAGTAGGTGGAAAGAGGCGCGCGTCGACGTAGAAATGGAAAATGGGAAACTGGGAAGCTGGGAAACTGGGAAACCGGTGTTGCCTGTAAACAAAGTTTTTGTTGGGGGCCAAAACTTTTCTAATTATAATCTACATAACTTAAATTTGCAAATGAGACGCGAGGGCGAAGGCGCGCACAAGTTCGCCGCTGCCAAGGCATGTGAAATTAAATTATGTCTGCGCCATGTATGAGAGTATGGTAAAAAAAAGAATAAAAATAAAAATTAAAAACAGCTGTTGAAAGGTAAATACTCACTCGACACTCGATTCGAAAAGCCAAAATCTCTGGCATTGGCAAGCAATGCAGCAAATTGAAAATGTTCACAGTCGAAATGGAATATTTGCAGCATTTTATTGATTGCTTCATTTAAATACACATATACACATTCTCACACACTCTGAAAAGCAGGGAAATATATATGGCAGGCGGCATTTTCCTTGGACCAAAAAGTGCCTACGAACTTTCTGCGTTTATCTTGAAAAATCATCTAATCTTAGCTAGACTTCATATTTTTCCCAACGCTAAGCTGCCTGCCATCTGAATGTGTATCGCTTTTTTTTGGGTAGTTCTGGAAAACATAATCACTGGGAATTCAGAGAAAATACTAAAGGAATTTTTGAGAATTCTAAAGAATACTTTATCTTAAAAATATATTACAAAAATATATATATTAATAATTAAAAGTTAATATCAAGATGATATAAAAGAATACTCGTATATAACCCTCAAAGTTTTTGACAGCTTGAATTTAGATTACTATAATATAATACCTAATAAATTTAAATATTTTCTTAAATAATTTCTGTTAGTTTGAGCTTAGAAATTAACATTCTTTAGCCACTATAATATTATATTCACTACAAATAAGTTTAAATTTTAAAAACCTTTTAAAAAAAGTGTTCATAAATATCCTCTCTATATTTTCCCTAGTATTTTTTTAGTGCTATGAGAAAACCTTGTGATTTTTTAGCGAAATGGGTTTTTAAAACACAATTACTGAGCCGTGCAAAATGTGTGTGCTGACTGACTGTGTGTGTTGTGTGTGTGTGTGGTTGGAACCTCTTCGGTGGCTTTTTCCAAACACCCTTGGGCATATTTTAGAGGCTCATGTGACAAATTGCCCCAGCACGTGTATCGCATGCTCATTTCTGGAATATGCCTGATTCGCTGGGCTCTCTCTGTGTTCTTTTCCTGCTGCCAGGACTTGTTCCCGCTGATATCTTTTAGTTGCGCACACGCTGACAAATCCAATTCATTTTTTGCCGCCTTACGTGGCGTATACGTAATGGGCCAGCAACTAAAGGTAATGCGATGGCTGCTACCTGCCACCATTCGCCGCTCTGATTTCCATGTTTATGCATGTACACTCCACAAATTGGCTCCCACTTCAATCATTTTCATTTTTCCGTTGCCACGTTGTTCTTTTTTCTCTTCTCTACTTTTTTTTAGTTTTCCGCTGGCATTTTCTGGTTCCATTCGCTGGCGGTCCATCAAGTGGAAGGCAATCGAAAATTGGCGCTTCGCAACAAAATGCTCAATGTTCGAGCAAGGAATGGCCGGAGTCCACTTTGCCGGAATGATATTGTTGCAACGATGCCCGGGCATCATCCAGCAACTGGCAACAATTACGCGCCGCCTTAATTGCAGCACAAGACACTGAGAGAAAAGAGTGGCATTTATACAAGAATTCTCGAAAATGCATGGCAGGATATAGGGAATAAAACAATAAAATCTCTTGATAATAAGGTAGATTAAATTATTCAACTCAAGATCATATTAAAACCTGTAATCCTACACACATTTAATTCATATTTTTCCTAGTAAGTAAGGTCCCCTTTTTCCTCTGAGTGTATGTGCCCCCTCGTTAACATGCCGATGCAACAGCTCCAACAATAGCATACCTATCGAGCAGACAGGGGGAACGGCATCGGTGGGCATCGGACCTGAAATCAAAATCATTGGTGTGAAAATAAACTAATTGAAGAAAAATTTCATTTGCAACAGCGGCCGAAGCAACGGCAGCAGTAACACAGCATCGCCACTCGACGCACCGCATCTTGTTGCATTTGACCCTGGGTCAAGTTGCAGGCGAGCCACGGCATATATGCCATTCCAGGCCATGGCAGGCCACATCCCTGAACTTCCACGACCCCCCCGCCATCTACACATTCACATTCCCCACATTTGTGCTGGAACAGGAGACATCGGATCAGAAGGACAATGCAGGACGATGCCATGGAGGTGAAGGCAGGCCAATGCGACGTGTGCTTACTTATTAGTTCAACAATCTGTAGTTGGGACACTGATCATAGATTTTAGATTTCAATTTTAAATTTTAAATTATAATTATATAGGAAGAAATAGGCACTTTTTATCGAGAATCTAAATGGAATTTCATTCACTAGTTTAAAGTAAAAGTTCCTGAGAATGTTAAAAAAAATGCTTATCACTACTAAAAAATCTAAATATAGAAATATTAATATATATTTCTAAATATATCCCAATATTTGAATCCTTAACTTTCAATAGAATTTAATATCTAGCCACTGTGCATGAGTAAGTCCCTTAATGCTCCCCCGATGCTCTGTTCCTGCCGAACTATATATTCTGGAAGTTGCCTGCCGACCGGCTAACTATCACAATGAATGCATGAAAAACTACATAACGGTAATGTGCAGTTGCCATGTAGCAGTGAACCAGTAGCAGCAACAGCAGCACCAAGAGTAGCAGGATACAGCAGCAGATGTTGCTGATGATGGCGCCCTGAGTTGTATGCTACACTTTTTGCACGACGCTTTTGTATGTTCAACGTGGCGTGGGGGGCGGGGGGAGCAGGGGCGTGGCACATATCCCTCGCTGTTTATTTGCCGCTGCCTACATGCTGTGGCAATATCCAATGTTGCTGCCACCATGCCAGTTGTTGCCACCAGCAACAGTTGCGTGAGTGCAACAGAGTGTTGGTGGATCCACCAGATAGATGGACAGCCTGACTAACAAGCCGTAGATATTGCAGGCAGAAAGGGCAACAAATGAAAAAAGGCGGAATAAAGTAAGAAAAATATAACTACGAAACGCACTCGGAGGGTTTTTTGAAAAAAAAAAAAACCTTCCACTAATTGGAAGCCTCGCTTTTGTACTTCAAATGGAAATTCATCGAGGAAATTATTGGTATTATTGATACATATCAAGGGTCTGTCAGGGCTTCATTAATAATAAGTGGCTATGGTATAAATGCAATAAAATCATTGAATAGCAGTGTTCATTACCACTTAAAGAGCGCTCGCCATATACTTGAACTAGATATCATATACTGTCCTCCATTTAGCTTTAATTTTAAAAGAGAAATAAAGATTAATTGCTAAATATATTGTTATATTTTCAATATATTTATAAACCATTCTATGTTCTTTAAAACTCATTTAAATTGAATACTGTCCTTACACTTCGACGGCAGTTTTGCCAATTTTTTGGCTGTCCCAGCCACAAATCAAATCTCTGATTCTCTGGCTCGATATGGCAGAGGAGTGGCTCCGCCAACTGAACTAATTTCTTTCACGCTACGGTCTGAGTTATGGAGCTTAAATTGGTTGGGCCCCCGAACCGACACCACGGCCCCTTGGACCACAAAATTTGCATTTCCCTCCAACGTCTGCTCTACTACTATATCTTTTGCGCTCCTGGAAGTGTGGTGGCATCTACATAAATGTGGCTTTTCATTAAAATCTAAAAGCATAAATCTAAAAAGTGAAACCAACAATGCCAGAGCAGACACACAGGCGGTCCTTTCCCTTCCAGGATGCTGATTTCCACAGGATCTGCGGGCTGACTGCTTTATGCCTTTCTTCCTTCCTGTCTGTGCCTGTATTTGTGTCTGTGTGTGTGTGTGTGTGTGTGCGTGGCTAAAAACTAATTGAATTTTGAAATTCAAGTTGAAATTAAAAAATTACCAACAGACCAGCCGGCCACAGTTGGCATTTGGCAATGGGAAATAAACTGTAAAACGGAAATGTATTCGGCAGGTGGAAATTGAAACTGATTGAATTGTAAAGTGAAGCATAAAATGCCTTTGCCTGTGCTCTGTGTTGTTGTTCTCGTTTTTGTCGCTGTTTTACAGCTGCTGTCACGCCCACCGCCCCTCAGTTCTTCAGTTCTTGGTGGTTCGTTATTTTTTCCTTTTTTTTTTTTGTTGTTATAATTTATGGTTTTCGATTTTAATTTGCGCATTTGGGCGCGTGTTTTATGGGAGTTTTCATTTTTTGTTGGTTCCTTTTGCATATTCCTGCGTGCCTTCTGTGTTTTGTCACAGTAAAATGTAAGAATGATTTAGAACGAGAGCAGGTTGAGGAGTTTTAACATATTTTTAATCTGCTTCGAGGGCAGCCAAATAAATGATTATTGTTGTTTAAGCTGATTGAAATGTTGTACAAATGTTTGAATATTTATTTAACAATTGATATGATTATAATATGCTTTATTTAATATGTAATATCTATTGAAGACATTAAAAATCCCAAAGGAATTATACAAATTTAACTGATATTGAGCTAAAGCCACTTGAAATCCTTTCACAATCTCCTTTAAAAGCTTCATTGACTCAAAATTTATTAGTTTCATAATGGAATAACCTTATTCCAAGCTTTCTTTTACTAATAGAAAATAAAAGTGAATAACTGCCCTCGTTGCAAATGCCAAGGCATATGCATTATGATTAGCAGCCATAATTGAAGTTTAACTGCGCGTGTAATAAAAGCGATTTTTGGCCATTTGCAACGCATTAACAGCATAAATAATATGAGGCGAAAGTGTGAAAATAAGGACACGCGATATGTTTGTGGCACCCATTTCTCAGACAAAAAACCCTCACACACGCAAAAGAAATCCAAAGACATTTCTAAAAAAAAAAAAAAAGGAAACCCGGATGAAAAGACGGCCCAATTTTTGATGAGTTGAGGATTTGGGGCGCGAGAAAATGTACGAAATGCGATATTGTACAAAGGCATTAAGAACGTGCTGGCATTACCCAGGACCTAGACACCGACTTATATGCGTTTATATATATGTGAAAATATATATATATGGTATTTTCCCGACCGCAAACAACGACGGCGACTTATTCATTGCGCTTGCCATTAAGGTGGCTCTCGGTGCCATTTGGCCATTGCCTCAGCCATTGCCATGGCTAACACCGCCATACCGCCAGGGTGATATATAACACGCTCATAATTGGTCATAAATCTGACAAATGTAATTTGTCATCACTCAAGCAGCTAGCGAACCGGGCCAGCATCACCCCAATCTTTTACAGGATCCGCAGAAAAAAAAACAACAAAAACAAGTCATAAAGGAAATTAGATTTCGCGACTAAGAGATACCTGGTGTTAAGGTTTATTTTTGAATATTATAATATATAATAAGAAACCTTGGAAGTATGAGTATTTTATATTGTAATCTTATCAACATCTTATCTACCATTTTATTAGACTTTCAATAAGAATCACTCCATAATTTAATATCAAATTAAATACTTAAATATTGTTGTTAAATATTTATAGGTCCTTGTTAAGGCATTACATTCCTGTCCAATCCCAAAATCCTTTGAGGTATTAACTATGAGCAACACATACCGATTTCCTCGGCTTTTCGCTTTGTCGAACCCTAGTTTCCTCCTCTTGCCCTAAAGGGCCTCGGACTTGGTCCAAGCTATGGTGAAGTGCCAAAATGAAAAAGGTGCTTGACACAAAATGTCAGCTGGATACTTTTTTATTGCACAATCACAACATATACATACACACAAGCGATGCCCCTTACACACGTACGCATACTCTGACACCTTTTTGGATATGCCCAGAAGCAGGCAATGCTTTTGTTTTAGTTTCCGCCCAACACGCACACACCACACCACCCCACACACACACACCACCCCACACACACACACACACATAGATAAACAATATTTTCAAGCACTCAACACATAAGCCACAAAGTAGTTACTTTTTACGCACCTCAAGCACACTTGTCCGGTGTCCGGCCTGTGGAAACAGTGATTGTTTTCCTTTTGCGCTCACTTGGGCTCGTAAATATTTTACAAGTTTTGCCGGGCAACTAATTTCGGTCCTTATAGATGACATATGACTCAGTTTTTCCGGAAGGAGAGAGGGGTATTAGGGGCGCTCCAACATCTACATTTCATTATAAATGACTTTCAAAATGGCCCAAGCGTTGTAAATGGAGTAAGTGCGTGTTTCTGGTCAGGGCATCGACTTGGGCATTAGGTTTTAATGGTCGGCAGCAATCAATAGGCCATGATAATTTATGGCGATTATGTTGGCCCCAATGCCGAGAAAGTTGTCCATGAATATGACTTAATATCGAGCTGTGATTTTCCCCTAGAGAGAGATGATAGAGAGTGAGAGTAGTAAGTAAACACATTTTAATATTCAATCTTTGCTAAGAAAATATTAACCAAATTAATGGGAGAATAAAGCAGTATTATGGCTTCTTTAAGAGGGAAATTTAGTTGAGTACATTTCTGGAAAATCCGTTACACTCTTAATTACTTAAATATAATATATTATATTACAATTAATAACTCACTTCTTGGTAGGAAAGAGGTAAGTGGAAACACTGCACCATGATGCCGCATCCACTGAAATATCACATACACAAAAGTCTCTCCCATTAGGTAGAGAAGTAGGGAAAATCGAAACTCATAGCCACTCATTGAAATGTGGAGCAGAGTAGAAAACAAAATGATAAGAATAAATAGTACACAAGTTTCTGATGATGCCGTGGCAATTAACTGCAAAGAAATAGTTTGAATATATGATAAGGAAATGTAAAAATCATGAAATATTACACTGCAATTTCTATTGTAGCATTCGTGATAGTATAGAAGTGGGAAAGTCAAGAAGATCGCATAAGTGCTTAGGCTCATCACGAATCCGAAGCAGGCATCCAACATTTTCCTACGCTGCAGTCCCCTGACCACAATCGCCTCACAGAACACTCACCCAGGCCAAATACATCAGGACATTGAGATCGGGCAACAGTTTAATCGCAGACCGATAAATTGCCAAATTAGGTTATCGATCTCCCGGCACAGCACACACATGGCCATCGAGCTGATGACCAGTCCCACAGAGTAAAAAGCCACAGATGATCGGGTCGCCTCAAGGAGTGCGTAGAGATATAGACCAGGAAAGAGGCTACCCAGCAAATATGGTCATGACAATAAGTCGACCAGTGCGAACGTATAGAAAAGATGCAGCACCGGCAGGACGAGGAAACAGAAGCAATTGATGTACTTGACCCATCCATAATGGATGCGATCCTTTGATATGACTGGAATAAAGTGGGCCGCAAGAAAAAGATGGGTACCTAGGGAGAGTTGCATTAAAAAAAATTAATAACTAAACACCATACCCACCATAAAGATCCTGTATGTCAAAGGGCTATCCTGCATAATCTTACTTCCATTCACAGTCGTCCACCAAATGCGTCGCCTCGAATAGGATCTTTGCTTCGTATAGCTGCCCAAAATCTCATCATCGCTTTCCAGATCGGAAAAACTCTCTGGTGGTCTCTTTTTTTTAAGACCACTTCTTGAAAATTCCATAAAAGACGATACCACGATCACAAGCAAGACAATGCCAAAGGTAAATATGAATACAATGACTCTGAACTCGAGAAGAGTTAGGTCTTTACTTTTAGCCGTATCATTACCCTGGATATAGAGTCTTCGATTGGACACAACCAACAGATAGACTAATCCAAGCATCATAAATGTTATGCAGGACCACCAGGTAACTCCATCAGCTTTGTATCCTTGCGCACATATTACCATAATCCCGATCACAAAGTACCTCATAATGTCCCAGTCAATTTGGCAAACTGCAAGGGACTCGAATTCTCCTCTCGGACAACACAGGTCCGCCAGGCACTTGTGTAATATGGCATCAGTAGACAAGGTCCAGAGATCAGGTAAGAGGAGCCCAACATTGTCGTCGGAGTGAATTCAATGAGCGATACTAGATTCGGAAAGAAGCTGTAAGACTTTAAGCAATAGCAGAGATTACCGTCTAATTGATATCTACGTACAAGTACTTGGTCACCATATGCAGCAGACTGAATAGTATTATCAAAATGGCTGCATTGCATAAGCCATAAATTGGTATAAAGGACTGATTGAGAGTGCAGAAGAAAATCTTCATCAAGTTAATTAGATTGACAAAAAGTCTACAGCTAAATGTATTAATCGCAAGAATGCAGTACTCTTCGGCACTCGGGTCCGTTCCCTTGGGCAGCGAGCATTTAGTCTGAAAATAATATATTTCTAGATAAATCCTAGATTAAATTCATGGGAATCCCCGCTTTCGAGTACTTGCCACATTGGGATAATTCACAATTTCCATTTTTCATTTCGAATTGTTATTTTTATTATTATCAAGGGTTATTTTAACTATATTTGATTTATAGAACTAAGCTTGCTGTTTAATAATTTATGTTGTGTCTCAAGTATTCAATTTACTACTAAGTATTAAGCTTATTTAGTGATTACATAAATATTTTCACAGAGAACCTCGACTGGATGGCTTCCAAGGTGCAGATGCAATTGCAACGCCTTCGAAATGGGTCAACTTAGGGTTCATGAGCGATCGCCGGCGTCATAGTCAACGTGACGAGTTCCAAGTACGCCGTATATCTTGAGATTCATCTACATATCTCCGGCGACTGGCAACAGCCAAAGATACGGATTCCAGCCGTAATGAAACTAGATGCGACACATTTGGCAAATTGCCGTCGCATCAACATCAACAACGCTCCAAACACATGATATTCTCCTTCTGATTTTTGTAGTCTTTTATTTTTTTTATTTTTGATATTGGACTGCAAGAGAAAATCCGAGAACTCGAGCTCGAGCTCGTCTCAATTAGCGTCAATTGAATTATTACACGGCGACACTCATTCAATTTTCAGCGATGGGGGACCAGGCCCACGGGCAAGTGTTGTTCAGGTTTTTCGTTTTTTGTGAAAGATGAGAGTGAATGTGACTGAGAAACTGGGAATGGGTGAAAGGAGTAATTGAATGCCCTTTAAATTTATTTGAATTTCATCAGGATATCAAGTTGGACAAGTTAGTAAAAGCATTTAAACCTAGGGAAACCTAAATTTAATAGATATTTGTACAATGAAGTACTCATCATTGCAAATAATAAAGAAGCTTATACCTGGGTTAAGTACTTAATGTTATAATATTTAAAGTTTTCAATTAATCCATATTTAAAAAGATTGAACTTGTTCTGTGTACAAAGCAATAAATAATAATAAAGATAAAGATATTAAATGTATTATACAGTGTTATTTTAACCTTAATCATCTTCAAAGACTCTATTTAATGTTGTCATTTTCTAATCTTCACATTTACTTTTTAATTAAAAAGGTTCAGGAAAACCAGTAATAATTAAAGGTTTGAATATTCAAAGTAAATATACTAATATACTAAATAGTTGTATTCGTTTGGTACGAGTTTTTTCTTGAAATATTATATTGAAGCATGTTGATTGTTGCAATTACTAACTTTATACTTAGTCCAATGACTTATTTATTTATTTTTTATTAAATATCCCTCAACTCTTAAGATACTTTTCCCAAATAAATCACTATCTTCTCCATAGATATACCCCACTTCTGAATCGTAGAGCATCATCCCACGCATTTATCACTTTCCGCGGATATACGCGTCGCAGTTTGCGCCTCATGCCGCCAGTTCATCCGCGCCACTCGATCAGTTGGGATCAGCTCCAATAAGTTCCGAGATATCAAAATGCGATCCTGGTTCTTGACACTCAGTCTGCTGCTCCTCGCAGCCTCACCACATTCCACACGGCCGAGGCACGCGGTGGAAGAGGTCGTGGTGGTGGCTCCTTTGGTGGATTATTTGGCGGTTGGCGTAAATACAAGAAACCCTCGTCTTCGGGTGGCGGTCGTCGCGTGGTCAGCGGATCTCCAGTACATACGGCCATGACAGTGCCGAAACCACCACCACCTCCACCACAACCACCCAAACCGATGATGGTACCGAAGCAGCAAGTGCCCAGCTATCCCCGCCAGCAAATGCCACCGGTTACGGCTATGGATCATATCCAATGGGTCAGGCCAGCGGAACGGTCTATGCAAGTCCCAGGCTCTGCCACCTGGAGCTGTATTCCTCTCCCAGCCACCTGTGGGAATGAATCGGGGATTAGGAGGTGAGTCTTTAACTTGGATAGATATACATACCTGCCTAAAATCTGTGAAAGTGTTTGATTAATACCGTAAATCTTGATTATATTATTACTAATTTGTCACCATAGTTTACGAGTTAATTCATTCCTTGAATACTATAATCTTAAGTAATATATTTCCCCTCCAATTTCAGGCTCTGGGGACTTCCTAACCGGAATGCTAGCGGGTCATATGATGAACAACCTGCTCTTTGGCCATCGTCACCATGGTTCCCATATAATCCGAAATCGTGGGGAGGAGGAGCAGTGGCTCAGGGAAATGGACGCCAGATCATCATCGTCAACAATGGCCAGCAGTTGCCGGAGGAAGTGGCTCAAAATGAAACTACAATTTCAGGGGAGGCATCCGTTGTAGTTCCTCCCGAGAATCCACTGAACGAGGAAGACGGAGCTGGGGAGGAGGAGGAGACCGTTGAGGGACATGGTGATGGAGACGAGGAGAGTGCCCCTGTTTCCAGTGAGGAATCTCCAGACCCTGAGGCAACCCTTCCCCCCATGCTCGATGGCGGAATCGTTTGCTTTCCCATCATGATGAACGAAACGGATCCCGAGAATCCAGAGGTGACGCGACAAGTGGAGCGTGTGGCCTGCTTTCCAGTACCGCCCCACAATTCGGTGAGCCCGCCACCCTGGAACCACCCCACCACCGAACCACCCATTGTCGCCGGCGATATTGTGGGTGGCTCAGAGGCAGGTGGCTCGGTGGGTGCGCCAGAGGGACAACACGACGAGGGTGCAGGTGACGCCGTCGAGGTGGCCAGCTTTGTGGCTGGCAGAGCTGCCAATGTCAAAACGGACTCCTCTTGAGTTTAGTTTCTGCTAGGAACTAAGTTATATGTAAACAATAATAAATAAAAGCCAATAATTTAATAAGAATATCATTTCTTAAATTTATATTTTTACAATTACTAAAGAGTATAAAATACAAGTATTCTGTTTGTTCTTAGATAGATATTCCAGAGAATTCTATTATTTTATTAAAGAGGGTTTCGAGAATTACCCATACATTAACATGGGAATTTCCAGTAATATTCCATTCCTGCGGGAATATATAGAGACTAAAATAGAAAATTCCAGGAATAGAATCTACGTCAGCGACTCCCGCGGTGGTTTATCAACAAGCTGACATTTCTGATGGACTCACCCTTCTTCCAGGATACAGTTACAGGTACAAAAAGCGGTGTCAAAAAATATTAATTTATAGTACATTATATTTTAATTTAAAATTAATTTACAGATATTAAAATTACACAATAAAAAGTTCCAAAATTTGGTAATTGTAAAAGCTCTATCTTAATAGAAAATCTACGACTATCTACATTCTTTCAGTGTTAACCGAGTATAACAATATGTTATGATTATAATACTTTACCTGAACAACTAAACAACAACAACTATAAGTTCTCACAGTGTATAAGTAAATAAAAATAGGGCAGCAACACAAACAGGGGCTATCATATTGCGGCTTCATAAACTGTAACGTTGACTTTGACGTTGAAGGCAAATTAACCCATTAAAATAGAAAAAATAATCCTTGCTATTAAAAAAGAATTAGACCAAAATATACCTTACATACAAATAGAAAATACAATATTGTCCATTAATATATACACATTTAAATTACTAAACTAATCCAAACTGAATTAAATTAAACGAATTTATACAATAATCAAACATATAACAATTAAAAAATATAAAACCTTAAATATATCTATTTACATAAGTTCTAGCATACTCCTTAACTCCACAGTTACAGGGTATCAAAACAGAAACAAAGAGAGTCGGACACGAGCTTAAAACACCTTCGCGTGAGGGGCGTGTGTGTGTGTGTGTGGGTGAACGATGATCCAACAAAAGCAATGAAGCTCACTTGATGCTCATTAAAGCCCCAACAATATTGTTGTGAAAACAAATAAGAGCGACAGAGAGGGAAAAAGATGGAAGAGATTGTGAAGAGAATATGACCAATGACACATTGGTACTCTCTTTGGAAGAGACTTGAAGCAATATCATTCACACAGTTTACAAAACGTAATATAAAAAAAATAATATATAATTTAATATTATTTGACTTATGAAAACACTTATCGAGAAACACTGAATTCTTTGCCCAAATAAACTTTTGTAAATCTTTGCAAATTGTTAAAGGTTACTTGTCCTTCCCTTACTTAAAGTTACGTCAATATTATCTCTCACAAATTTGTATCTTAATATTAGACACTCATAATTCCAGCGTAAATGATTTTACAGCAGCCGAGAGATAAACGTATTATTGCTTAGATAGCAGATATTCCCTTTGGAGAGGAACACCACCAGAAGCTAAAATTAAATAAAAACATTTTGTCTGAAGAGCCCAAGAGACAATAAAGCGACGCCAGATATTGACAAAAACACAAACAAGAAGAGCAAGCGATGGGAATGATAAATACACTAAGAAAAAGGTTTAGAATAATCTTTAACTTCTTAAGTTTATTAAATTATATGCTCCGGTATGCAGATTTATAACTAATAAAATAGCTAGCAGTTGTTTTGGATAAGTTATAAGATTTTAAGATTGATTTAACGAAAAATGGTCATAAAAATCATAAATATTTTTAAAAATGGAAATATTAAGTTAACTTTAATCAATTTCTGAATGCCTATAGTTTATTGAAACTGAAATTTTAATTAGTAGTTAGAAGTTAGTTCCTTATTTAAATACTAAAAATGCCAACAAAATTATATTTAAAATTGTAATGCATTATTTAATATACATTATTTTAATACACTTTTTCTCTCTGTGCACTGACCACTGCTGATGACAACAACAACCAAAACAAGTTGGTTTCACTCTCGCGGTCGCTGCCTTCACTCTGCCGCTGCTCTGCTCTGCCGCTGTCCGCTCCAGAGAAAAGCACAAAACGCGAACGATTTTTTCAGCGGCAGTTCATTTGTTCGAGAAACTTTGCACGAAACAAAAGCGAAAATCGCACGCGGCAGCGGAATAAACAGTAAAACAAAGTAAATATTAAATAAATTAGTGTTTATTACATTCTAAACCAAGTATGTTCAGTGGGTGCTCCATGTGAGGAATACGAAATTCAGTTCGCAAAAAAAAACAATTGTTTCAAAGTTATTGTACAGTTCAAAGCAAGCGTTGCATTAATTTAGTCACTAATTGTGGTGGCTTTTGTTTATTTTTTTGCAATGCCTGGCCGACTTCAAGGTCACTTAAAGCTAAAGGAAACCAATATAATAATAAGTGTCAGATATACATAACAATAAAAGCCAATTCCCGGGTTCTTTCAAACCAATTTTGGGGTTTCTTCTTAAACAATTTTTGAAAAATATATTTTTATAGACATTTATTTATATGTCAAAGATGCCTTGTGTTGATATCTTGCACAGCTTTTATGTTTTCAAATATCCAGAATTTACATATATTAATTGTTAAGCTTTGTTTCATGCACTCAACAGGTTGGTTTAAATATAGAAATGTTTAGAGTTCCATTTTTTATGACAGAAAAGCACTTTGAAAGGGCGGGAAAAATTATATATGTATTTATATACCCTTCAGCTTAAATTTATGCATAGTGCAGTGGAGTGTAAAAAAATATCAACTATAAATATACACGAGTCGCACTATTAGATCACCTATCCAGTATTTATTTGTTTAAGGAACAGCTGTCATATCATATCATTAAGTCGAAGGGTAAATATTACTTAGGTAAAATCAAATAGTTGGAAGTCTGTTGGCTTTAAATAGAAATAAAAAGACATTTTGTAGGAAAAATATTTTTGGAGAGTCACCCACTCAAAGCCCCATATATACCATACATAACTAACCGGCTTTTAACGCCCAATTAATTTTTATTTTTATATATGTCTTATGTGAGGCATTATGGTCTCTGGTTTTGCATCATTCTTCCCATATATTATGTAAGGTTTGAGCAACAAGCAACTCTCTCCAAGGCTCCAATGAGTTAATGAATCATTTGGTTTTAAAGTACTCATAGTACTCATTCGATTACAATATTCATATATACAGACTTCGATCTGTGGCTAATCTTAAAAAGCTTTGATCTGTGACTTTAGCAAGATGATAAGCAGACAATTTCTAGACCGTCTCCCTATAATTCTCAGAAACCAAGAAAATGAGTAAACAAACACGGGGTAAACAGCTTTGGCTTTGCGTGTTCATGACCATTTCCCCATTGACGTCATAGCTGCGCATGCGCTGAGCTTTCATTTCCATGACTCACTTGAAACGGGTTTAACACGTTTTTAGCATCGCTTGCAGTTTTTTTTTTTCTTGTGTGTCAGACCCAAAACAATAAACTTGGATTACTATTTTTATTACAGTTACAACTGCCGGTAAATAGGTAGATTTATTTTAATTAGACTGTGTCACACTCTATTGTTTATTTTGGCTAATTCCAGAACAGTAATTCGTAAACAATTGTTTTAACAATTACTTGGGACAAATTAAATGTTAATGGTATGAGTCGTAAAAGACTGGTTTTTAGAGCCCTCAATTTTGATTATACTTTTTATAACCCTAATGAGTATTAATATTCTAATAGTTTAGAATTTAAGCACTGGTTTTAATGAGTAAAATACGTTCAGAGTTTGGGAATTATATTTTTGAAATAATAACCTACGGGTTAACATAAGTATTTGGGTTGCTTTTTCTTTGAATTTCAATCCTAAATATTATTACTAATTAATAAAATTCACATAATATTGGTAATAATATCACTTATTGACCTCTTTTATTTGCGTCGTAGCAAGTCTTATTAAAATTCCTAGAACATTAATTTAGAAATTAATCTAGTTTAGTTCTATTGAAACATGACTCACATTCGTAGTAAGTCTTATCAAAGATGTTTGTTTTGGAAAAGGTAATAAAAATATGTTTTTTATACTCTTTCAAGGTATTATAATTTGTAAAGGAGCCATTTCTGACCCTATAAATCATATATATTCTTGATCAGCGTGAACAGCCGAATCGATTTAGATAAGTCCGGGCAAAATTTATTTTTTTAAAAATTTCAAAATTTTATAAGGGGTTACATTGTTAAAATTGTAAATAAATGAGAAACATTTTGATTTTTTACAATTTTAAATAGAGTATGCAGATTTATTAACCTAATAAAAACTAGATAGGACAGCTTTGAATTTAATTTATGCTCTTTTGCTTATTATGAGTGTTTTAAATATTGTTTGTGCAAAAATTCTTATTAAAAACTATACAAATATTTTATTTAATTTTGATTGTTGATAAATTGTATTCAATTTCAAGCTGCAAGGGTATATAAGCTTTGGCTTTCTTATTTTTTTATTATGAAATCAACTGGCATGTTTATAAATTAATTTCCTTAGTACCACATTTCACGCCACTTTTAATTTACGCCAAAATTCTTTATCCAATTCCTTTCGCCTTCGAGCCTCATAAGGAGGCTTCCGTTCGCCTTGGTCACACAGACTTGACCTCCGAACTCTCGAGTGTTTATAGTTCAGGGACTTGGGACTCGGAACTCGGAACTTGGGTGTGGATTAGGGTGACGAGACCAGAACTCAATGGAGCATAGCCACGCGACAGGCAGCCCCAAAATCAGCAAGATAATTATCATTAGACAACCGCCCAAGACACGCATAACGCGCTTCTAATTTGGTCAAATAAAAAAGGGCGGGCCACGGCAGAACGCCTTTAAATTTTTGGCAATCAGGGCGTGTCAATTGCGTCACGGTTTAATCGATAAAGTGGCCAAAAGAAAACAATATTGATAAATTAAATTTCTTAAATTTCTTTGGAGTATTTTTTTTTTAAATCAATTAAATTAGTATTTGTATCTATAAGATTTTTATTTATTTTTTCAAGTATATAAAATCTGACACTTGAAGCTCAGAAATTCATGGAATTCGGAATAGGAATCCAAGGGGAACCATGTCTCAGTTGACTTACCATAATTGTGGTTTATTATTAGCTCAAATTGAATAAATTGTTTGTTTTTTTACATATAAAAAAAAGCCTCGCTGGCAGATTACTACAAACCATATGGACAATGGAAATCGGGGTGCAGTAGGGAAAAATATATCAGAATATTTGAAGATAAGGTCGGAGACCTAAATACCCTTTACTACTTATATAAATTCAAAAATTATATTTCAAAAATATATATTATTTCTATGCTGGAATTATTTATTTATTTCTGTGTTTAAAGTTTATTTTCCAAAAAGAAAACTACGATGAGTTATCTGAATATAAAAATAACCGAATAAATAATATTTTTTAATACTAATATAAAAATTCTTATCAGTTTAAAGAATATCTTCTGAAGCAACTCAACAATATTGTAAACGATATCATCATTTACAATGAATTGTTTTTAAAAAAAAAACATATAAGATTTATCTTTCAAAACGATGTAGTAATTCTCTGGAAATTTGATAAAAGAAACTCGTAACACAGTATACAGCTCTCTCTACTTTTAAAAATTGTTTAAAATATTCCGTAGAATTCACTCGAATTGAGATATTTGTGATTAATCAATTGCTTCTTCTCTTTAAGGATGACCATTATACCCAGGCGTCTCAGTGGCAGCCTGCTGGTGGTGGGGCTCCTGATGCTATCCCTAACCACAGAGGATGTGCAGGCCAAGCGTTGGTTTGGCGGTGGCGGCAGCAGGAGCCGCACCAGCTCCAGTTCCAGTTCGAGTCGCAGGACTTCCTCGCACTCCTACTCTGCTCCCTCCCACTCCTACTCGGCTCCTTCCCACTCGACAACGTAAAACTGAGCTATGGCGGTGGCAGCCACTCCCAGCCGAGCAGGGTGAGCAGCTCCCAGTCCAGAGTAGCCACAGTGTGGCCAAACCGGCGGCCACTTCATCACCAATTGGCTGGAATGTGCCGGCCAAGCCTCAAGGTCCACCTCCGCATACTCCGCCTCGAATCCTGTGGGTGGAGCTCACACCAATATCCACGAGCGTCCGCCAGCTTATAATCCGGCCTACAAGCCGGCACCACCAAGCTATTCGGCGGCCACTCAGACGCACAGCAACACGAATCTCCAGAGTCCAGCTCGTCCAGCTGCTGGAGCCGCTTCCAGTTCCAGTTCGAGTGGAAGCCACTACTATGGAGGAGCACATACTGGCACCGGTTACAGGGGTCGGAATAACTCCACCGGTGGCTTTGGATCTTCTGGAGGATATACACCCATTACGGCCACCAATGCCCATAATGTGCAGTCGAGCTATCCGCGTCAGCAATTGCCAGCGGGAGCCACCTATCATCCAGCGGGTCAGTTGCCAGCGGGAGCCACTTACCATCCAGCGGGACAGCTGCCAGCAGGTGCCTCATACCACCCGGCGGGTCAGGTGCCACATGGAGCCACCTATTATCCAACGGGACATGTTCCGGCGGTGCCACCTATCATCCAGCAGGTGCTTATCCCATGGGAGCCTCTTACCATCCCGCTGGACAGATTCCCCATGGAGCCACCTACTATCCACAGGCCCCAGTTGGCGGAGGATTGCCGCCGGGAGCCACCTTCTTGCCCGCCGGAGGAGCTCTGCCTGCAGGAGCCACCTATTATCCGCAGGCGCCACAGAAATCTTCTTCCGGCTTGGGTCTGGGTAAGTTTTATATATTTTATATTTATCTTTAGTTTATTTAAATGTTTTGTTTGTTCTTTTTGCAGGCACTGGTCTCATTGCTGGCGCCTTGGGTGGAGCCATCCTGGGACACGCCCTCACACCCACACAGACGCGTGTTATTGATCATTCCTACTCTGGCGGCGGAGGAGGCGGCGGAGGTGGTGGCAGCAGTGGTGGCGATGACAAGATCATAATTATCAACAATGGACCACCCGGTTCTGTGACCACCAGCGATGTGGGATCGGGCACAACGGTGATAAATACTGGAGGCACTCAGGCAGCTGCCTCACCCTCACTGCCAGTGCCCCCAGCTCCTGCCTATGCCGCTCCAGCACCTGGTTCTGCTCCAATGCCTGCTCCAGGAGCAGTCCACTGGCACCTCTAGCTCCCTTGCCACCGGCACCTGCTGATTCCAATGCTCCTGCAGGAGCACCACCAGCTCCCGGTGCAGCTGCCAATCCCAGTGTCCCAGTTCCACCAGCACCTGGTGCGGCCTCTGCAGATCCAAATGCTCCACCCGCACCTGGTACGCCGGCGGCTGATCCGAATGCTCCACCGGCAGGTGGCATCATTTGTGTGCCCGTTAAAGTGCCCGAACCAGATCCAACGGATGCCACCAAAACGATTGAGGTGGAGAAGATCGCCTGCTATCCGGCACCGCCCCCAGAGGCAGCTCCACCGGCCAATGGAACAGCTCCGGCCGCCGTCGAGGGAGCTGTACCGCCTCCCGTGTCCGCTCCTGGATCTGTGAACCTGGCACCATTCCAGGTCACCACACCGGTGAGCATTCCGGAGGGATCTGTACCCCTGGCACCGATAGTGCCTGGAGGCCAACCGGATATCATGAAGATGCCGGGCCTGACCTCGGCGCGTCTTTCGGCAGAATCGGGTCTCAGGGATGCTCACAGTGTGGCCGGAAGTAGCTTCGGTCACTATAGCCTCGTCTCCACACTGATGACCCTGCTGGTGGCATATTGCCTTCACTAGAAACCATCTTTCCTCCCTTTCAAGGACGCAGTGTCATTGGCAAACCGGAAAGCTTTAACTAATTTATTGCCAGTCTGTGGACACGAGATTCGCACGGATATAAATATGAATGCCTTAACCCATGGCCCATCGGTCCTTTTCATATATTTTGTAAACGAATCGAATTTTTTGATATATATACTCGTAGTTCTGTTAGACCTCAAAATAAGCCACCAATAAATGTAACAAAGAATTGAATGAAACCAATTAAGGAATAATGTATGCTGTTTTAATTGTTTATTTATTTATTTTGAGGTTTTGTTGTAGAGAAACGAGAAGTATTACCATATATCCCTTTAATATTATCCTTTAAAGTCGTTCAAACACATACCTAATTTCACATGAATTTAATTTAAATGTAATTTCCAACACTGTAAAAAATACCTCAAGCTTAATTCTTCAACACTGAATTTCGGGTTAGTTTTTCCCCCCAACCAATATTATGTTTTTATATGTATTCAAAATGTTTAACCTTAATAAAATGAATTTTATAAATGTAAATATTCGCAGCATACTTTTCCATCTCAATTATAAGCGTTTACAAACCTTAGTTTTAAAATAAAGTGTTTGAAAATGTCGATAGCACAAAAGGTTGTCAAAATCGAAGTACGTCAAATGACATAACGTGAAGAAAAGCAAAAGTAATAATTTTCCTGCCACTTGAACTCATTTCGCAGTGAAAAAAGGAGCTTATCTTTCTAAAAATGGCTTATTACAAATCCATCAAGGCCCGGAAGGCGCCGGAGTATAAACTGGGCGAACGAAACTTGGATATTAAGGCCGATTTGAAATTTATAGACCGACTTCTGGAGGACATGAAACTGAAGGTCGAGCCGGGATTGCGCGGCTTAATTCTGGATATCGCTTACAGTAAGTTCAATTACTTTTAAATTAAAAGTATCTACAAATTATTACAAATTCCGTGTTCAGCTTTGGCCAGGGATAAACTCGTGGAGGCTGCACGCTTCTCTAAGTTCTCCAATCGCACCAATATCACCATTGAAGACCTGAAAATGACGAACTTGGAGAAATTGGATGATCTGAAGACCCCGGTGCAGGGTCTGAAGAATACGGATGTTAATCAGGAAATTCTACCCAAGCCGTGCGCGGAAAAGGGACTCATGCTGCCCAACTGGCGCAACTGTCAGGTGGGAGGGATTCCCGAGAAACCTAAACCACAGATGATGCAAATACCAAGGGCTTTTCATACTCGTCCAGCCATAGTGCGTCGTCCTCCAAGGGGCCAAAATGTAGCATCGGTGTCTGCGATGGGAAAAACTACTGGACCTCGTATTAAAGTGGTTCCATCAACATCTAAAGCTGCTGCAAATGTGCGAACTGTCACTGTGAGGGCTGTACCTGCGAAGCCTGTACCTATGAAGGCTGTACCTCCGAAGCCTGTACCTGTGAAGGCTGTACCTGTGAAGACTGTACCTGCGAAGGCTGTACCTGCGAAGGCTGTATCTGCAAAGCCTGCCCCTATTATGCCTGTACCTATGAAGGGTTTACCTATGAAGGGTTTACCTATGAATGCTATACCTATGAAGGGTATACCTATGAAGCCTGTACCTATGAAGCCTGTACCTATGATGTCTGTACCTATAAAGGCTATACCTATGAAGCCTGTACCTATGAAGCCCGTACCTATGAAGCCCGTACCTATGAAGCCTGTACCTATGAAGCCCGTACCTATGATGCCTTTACCTATGAAGCCTGTACCTATGATGCCTGTACCTATGATGCCTTTACCTATGAAGGCTGTACCTATGAAGGGTATACCTATGAAGGGTATACCTATGAAGGGTATACCTATGAAGGGTATACCTATGAAGGCTATACCTATGAAGGGTATACCTATGAAGGGTATACCTATGAAGGCTATACCTATGAAGGGTATACCTATGAAGGATGTACCTATGAAGGCTATACCTATGAAGACTGTACCTGTAAAGCCAGAAGCTTCGAAGATTTCTCCTAGCTCTTCACCAATCCCTAAGAAGTCACGACTTAACTAAGAAACAAATATACAAATTGGATTCAGAAAAAACAATACATATTAAAAACATTATGCACATGACCCCCACCAAACCCCAGCAAAATACGCCACTGAAACACCAAATAAATATATTAACTACTGCAATTGATTTGCTATTTATATATATAATCAATATTCTGATATTTCACAGATACGAGGGTCAGACTTTTCAAGTTCAATGTCTGAAACCTCTCTCTATCTTGAAACCATAAACAACTTGACCACATATATTATGTATTTATTTATTTATTTTTTTGTTTTGTAGAGGCTTTTGCTAAAACTTGGTTAATTGTGTTCTCTATCCAATTGCCGTATTTTAAAAGATTTGGAAAGACGGTAGGTCCTTGGCAATTCATCCTGCCATAACTCACCAATCCAAACTGGACAACGCGTTTCATATCCCAAACAATTCTGGCGGTTAAAGGACTTCCAGAATCCCCAGAGCAAGTGGAGCTGGATGCACTACCAGCACAGATGTGGGATGTGCTCATATTTCGGCCAAATAATCTGGCACAATGGCCAACTGGATAGTTTTGCAAGGTGGTCTGCTGGAGGACGACACTGACTACACTGGACTTGGTGCGACCCCAACCAGTGATATTGAAACGCGAAATTCTATTCAAGAAACGTGCTTCCACACCCACAAGCAGGCATATGGGTTTGATGTAAGCTATATAGATAGAGGAATAATTTTTATTATTATATAAGATATATATATATATAAAGTTATTGTTTTACCGCTGTACTGCACAGTTTTATTGAGCTTGAGTAGAGCCAGGTCATGGTCGTGGAAGTCTTTATATGGCACATAGGTATAGGTGTGTGTCACAATAAAGTCCTTGGGTCCTGGAATACAGCCATCTCTAGTGCAATCCGAATTCCTATGGCTTATATCATAATCTCCCAGACGAACTGATCTGAAAATTAATTTATGTATACAGATAATGAGCATGAAACAATTTAACTTACAACGTATAATTTCTAGAGCAATGGGCGGCAGTCAACACAAAACCTGCAAATATAATATTATATATAATATATTTCATATTATATTAATTAATATTTATTAAAATATTTACGAGAATGAATCAGAGAGCCTCCGCATATCATCTGACCGCGTTCAATAATCATTGCCATCCAGGGATTGAACAATATATCAGCATTTTGACCATTCACCACCTTAGCCGATGCCTTTGAGGCCACACACTGAGAATCCAGCAAATGGGGGACTCCCCGAACGTCCAGAATTTGCAGGATTAGGCAATCAACAAACACCTTCCTTTAACTTCATACTTCAGAGAGAACACTGAACCAACTGAGGGCTTGAGAAGAATGTGTTTCAAATAAAATTAATCGGAACCCAGGCTATCAGTGTGACTTGACCTCGAGGTGCTGAATGCAATATAAGATTTTATTGTTCTGGGAAATTGAAGACATTAAAAGAAGAATACTATGTGAAATCTTAATTGAAATCAAGCTTCTTTTTATTCTGTATATAAATAAAAGACTTGTCTTTATAGTAATTTTTCAAATATTTTAATGTTTCCCTCCTTCTTTGGTCCCATTGTCAATGCTGTGCCCAAATCGTCTGCAAAGCGTTTGTAATAACTGGGCATCTCGACACCCAGGACATGAAAGCTCTTCTTCACCGCATCGTTCCAGGCATCAACCATGGACTCACGCCACGGTTTGACCTCCACATCTTTATCCTCGTAGCCTTTGTCGCAACGCCAAATGCAGATGCGTTGCATTAGATCCTCGGCCATGGGCTGAATTTCCCGCTTGGCATCCTCAAAGAGAAGCACCGTTTCATCGGTGCTGTTCCAGATGCCCATCTCTTGGGTGGCGTAGACCGTTGCGGCCACGAAGGCTATCCGGAAGAGCAGGAAAGCCATAAAACCTTAAATTTGTAAACCAATTTTAGGTGTTAATTTTGTCAAACTTTGAAGGGACTGGCCTAGCCAGTATTATATATATTTAAATAATTATTTATATTAATATATATTTATAAAAATATTTAATTGACTTTATTTTATTCATTGTTTTTTAATTCCTCTTCCGAAGGAATTTTAGAGAAATCCTTTTCAAATTTGAATTTTCCGATAAGCAAGGTTGGCCCATAGGTGTGGCTACACTGGTTAAAACTATCGGTTGGAGTCCAATATAAGCTCTTAGTCAAGTTTTGAACCGCTAGCAGCTGGAAGATTTATCGATTTATCAACGATGTACGTGACAATAAGCCGGTCGTCGGTTATCAACGTTACGTGAAAACAAACCGGTTACCAGTGATGCCTTTTTCCTGGCAAAGAAAGCAAACATACATATTGTATTTACCAAAATACAAAAATTAACTAATTATTTGGATATTTTATGGATATTACAAATTTTAAATTTAATTTTAAATAGTACATCGTAAATCATTAATTATTTTGGCCTTCGTCGGATTATTTTACATTGCCCAACCTACAAATATATAAAAGATAAACATAAAATTTATAGTAAATTTACTTAAACATACATCCAAATATAAATCTTAATCTTAATATACCGTACAATATTTTAGTATTTATTCTGTTCCAAAAAATATTAACAAAGACAAAATTCAATTTAAAATTTAATTAAAAAATTTATTAAATATTTGGATATTATACATTTTAAATTTATATTTAGTGAATATTCAGACTTATTTTATTTTCTAAAATAGGAAGATTCACTAATTATTTAGATATTATAATTATTATTTTATTATATTTATGGTAATTATTATATTTATTATATTTAGTATATTTATTATATTTATACATTTATTATATTTAATATTATAGTAATTTTGGGCTATTGTGGCTAAGCAGCTGGTTGGTTTCTATTAATTAAAACAGAACTTATTGCATAGACCAGATGTATCCAAAAATGTATAGTACATTAATTTCTAGTTTAAAATATATTTAAACATAGGTCCTAAACTCATTATTGCGTTCAATGAATAACTATAAATACATACATATTTTATTAACCAAAAATGAAAATTCATTAATTGTATGGATTTTTTTTTTAAATATTATAAATTTTAATTTTTATTTAGATAATATTACTATATCTTCATTATTTTCACAATCAACGGCTGTATAATAGTCATTTTGGACTTTTGTGGCTAAGCAGCAGTTTGATTTTTATTAATTTAAAAAGAACTTTTTTGCATAGGCGCAGTCTATACTCAAATATGTAAAGTATTATTAATTTCTAATTTAAAAATTAAGCCTTAAATAAAATTTATACTGAAAATTTAGTTAATGTTGGGAAAAAACTGCAGTATTTGTACAATGCTGCTTTTTGTATTTTTTGAAGGATTTTCAACAGAAAAATTAAAAATCTGTTTTAACACATATTTAAGTGGTCTGGCAACCTGAAATTAGTATAGATATAGTATATTAGTGTATATAAGTACATAAGTACATAAATTTATTAGAAAAACCAATAAAAACAAAGAAAATGTTAAAATTAAAGTAAGACTGTGGACGTGACATCACTGGCACTACGTAGTTTGATTACGTTATTGTGCGTTTGTGTGACCAGTTGCTTCTGGCCAAAATCCACCATCCCAAGTGAATATTTTATTTACGTGTGTTTGTGTTGCATTGTGTAGTTGTTTTTTTTCGTTAGTTTTCGTTCGTTTTTGTTGGGCTTTTTCGGCTGCCATTCGTCATCGCTTTGGCCCGACCTTTCGCCGCGTTCTAAGTACTTCCGGTCGTCGCGCTGCTTTTCCGCTTTTCCGCCTGTTGCTTCTGCTGCGCGGGGTTGAAATTGGGGTGGAGCTCTGCCCTCCCTCCCCCGCCCGCACCGACACCCGTTCAGCTGTTGCGTTTGCGTGCGTGTATTCGTAGACTTTTGACCGCAAAAAAAAGGGAATTTAAGCAACTTTAATTAGCCAAATTAGTGCCGAAAAGTGCCACCGAAAGACGGTAAGCCATCGTGGACTCTCATATGTGTGTTTCCTTTTTTGTTGCAGTTTATATAATTCGCTTTGCTTTCCACCTTTGTGCGCTGTTGTTGTTGTTTTTGTTGTCTCGATTTTCTTCTCCAACTTGTTTTGCTCTCGTTCGTGTGTGTGTGTGTCGCTGTTCGGTTGCATGTGTGTGTGTGTGTGCTATTAATTTACGCTTTCTGCTCGGCTGCTTCAATTAATATTATTAGTTCTTTTTCTCCGCTCTTCGCTTAATTACCACACTTTTTAATTTCGCAAGCACTGAGATTTAAGCCGTTTTCCATTCCCTCTCTCTGCATTTTTTATTTAAATTTGTTCAATTGTGAAAATCGCGGTTTCACAAAAAAACAAAAAAAAAATTGTGAAAGTTTCGTTTTCCCAATGCGGCGACGGCGGCTGCCTCGGCTTTTCAAACACACACCACACACACACACGCGATCCGAGGAGATAATTAATGCAGTTTTTTTTAAACAATAAGCTTATTTTGGATTAGAGTTTCGGTTTTATGCTCACGTCTACACCATCAGCGTGATAATCAAGATTAAGTCTGTATAATTATGACTCCCCCACAAGTAATACTATATTTCATTGCAACTTGATTTCAATTCAAGTCTTTAATCTTTAACTCCAATTGACTCCCAATAAATCTAGGCATCGTTATCTGTCTTTCAAAATACTTGTTAGATAGACGGCCTTGGCAATAAGTACATGAAAAATAGATTAAAATGCCTTTTTAAGACACTTGTACACAAATTACCGGCTAGGATTTTAACGGGATTTAGTAAATACATCGATTTTGAGCTTAGAATTATAGTTTCTTAAAGTATAATTAAAGAAAGCTCCCAAGAAAAGGTTTAAACCATAGTATTTCTTTTTACTTTTCATATATAAGACAAGTTTTCCAGTGATATCTGGTTAATAGCGGTTTCACTAAGCGACCTTTTCCAATTTTAAATAATCGCAAATAAGAACTTTATCAATATAAAAATCTGTTGATTAATTGTTAAACGTGCGAATTATAATGTTCTTTAATTATGGTTTGTTAGATTTTATTAACACAATTAAAAAACAATTTAAATTTGTATTAAAAAAAAAAATTTAAGTAATAGACTAAAAATCCACACTAGAGATTCCCAACTAGAGTCAACATACAATTTTCTTTCAAAGTCCGAACCTTTCGTATCAGTATTATCTTTACAAAAAGGTCTCCTTGTCTAGTATCTTGATTACTCACTAGAGTCAGCAGCCCAACTGCAATGTTTGTAAGCAGATAGTGTTTCTTAAATCAACACTTTTATCAGTTTGCTCTGATAAATTATGGAAATTGAATTAAAGTCAAGTCGGACGAACTATCTAATAGTGCTATGCAAATATTACAAAATAATAACGCATTTATTCCCCACAGATTACCTTAATGTTGCGCAGTGTCTAAGGATGCTGTGATGGCAAAGATGGCATCGGGAGATCTTTCCCTGACCAGCACGAGCAGTCAGGAGGGTGAGTATCCATTCCATTCCGACTTGAATCTCCATTTAATTCCCTAAACTTGCATTTCAGAAGAGAGCTCGGAGTATGTGGGTTATGACAACACCCTACGGCCACCGTCCAACTCCAGTGGCAGCGCCACCGCCGCCAACATGGCCAACAACAATGGGCCCTCGAAGGGCGTTAACAGTGGTGTGGGTGTGCCCGGCGTTTCCGGTGGAAACGGAACCAAGTACGACGTACTGCAGTCGCAGTATAAGGCCGCTCTCCATGAGCTAGCCACCTTGCGCCACCAGCACGCGAATTCGAAGCGGCGCTGCGATGAGCTGTCCAGCGAGCTGAGTCTCTATCAGGAGCACTACATGGCCGATCGCAACAAATTCACGGACATCGTTGAGGAGAGCGCCCGACTGAAGCGGCTGCTCCTGGAGACGCAGCAGCAGAACCAGCAGAGCCAGAATGGCAATAGCCAAGCTCCGCCCGTGGGCAGTGGAAATCCCTACTATTTCGGCAAGACACAGGGCTGCGATGGCAGCTGCAGCGAGAAGATGGCCGAGCTGAAGAAGGAGCGTACCATGGCCGCTGTGGAGCGAGAGAAGTACAAGAAGTCGTACATTGAGCTGGAGAAGGATCGCAATTACTATCGGGAAGGGGCGACGAGAATCAGACGCTCAAGGTTTTGCTATCCAAGGAGACCAAGAATGTGGTCTCACTCACCGAGGAACTGAATCAGCTGCTATCCGAGAAGGACAATGTTTGCAGGAGCACCAAAAGATGTCCGACGACCTGGTGCTGGCCAACAAGGAAATCGAGCGCCTCAAAAAGGACGAGCAACTGGCCAGGGGTGAAATCAAGGCCTGCAACTGGCCAACGCGGAGTTAAAGAAGCGCGACTTGCTCAAATCGCGCGAGAGCTCCTGGTCGAAGGAATTCCCCAGTGGCAAGGAGCTGGAGAACAGCAAAGAGCTGGAAAAGCTGCGCAAGAGCCTCGAAAAGGCTCTCTCCGAGGTGGAACGCTCCAGTCAGGACGCTGAGGAGGCAAAGCGTGTGAGGGATTGGGCCATCTCGCAGCGCGAGAAGATCGTGCAGGAGCGCGACTCGGTTAAAACGCTCTGCGACAAGATGCGCCACGAGCGAGACAAGGCCATCTCGGATTCGCTGATGGCCATCCGAGACAGCGAGAAGATTAAAAAGCAGAAAGACGAGGCCCAGAAAAAGATCGATCTGTTAAAAGAGCAAATGGAGCAGCAGGAGCGCCACAATCTGGATAGCAATGCCTCTGGTTCGCGACGCAGCTTCCGGTTGAGCAGCTACGAGGGTGAGGACCTCCTGGAGGTGGAGCTGTGCGGCTACGAGCACACCTCCGATCTGGGCATCATTCTGGATGACAGCAACAAGCGGAAGCTGGTCTGCGGAGTGACTAGCAGCTCGCCAGCCTGTGGGAAGCTTAAGATCAACGATGTGATCTGCAAGGTGAACAACCTGGACTGC